GGGACCGCGGGGGCGGCGGACAGCGGCGCGGCGGGGTGGCCAAGAGCAAGAACCGCCGCAGGAAGGGCGCCAACTTGGTGTCGGTGGAACCGCACCGGCACGAGGGCGTCTTCATCTATCGCGGGGCGGAGGACGCGCTGGTGACGCTGAACATGGTGCCCGGCCAGTCGGTGTACGGCGAGCGCCGGGTCACGGTGACCGAGGGCGGCGTGAAACAGGAATACCGCACGTGGAACCCCTTCCGCTCCAAGCTGGCCGCTGCCATCCTGGGCGGGGTCGACCAGATTCACATCAAGCCCAAGTCCAAAGTGCTGTACCTGGGCGCTGCCTCGGGGACCACTGTGTCCCACGTCTCCGACATCATCGGCCCCGATGGCCTGGTCTACGCAGTCGAGTTCTCCCACCGTGCCGGCCGCGATTTGGTCAACGTGGCCAAGAAGCGAACCAACATCATCCCGGTCCTCGAAGATGCCCGGCACCCGCTGAAGTACCGCATGCTCATCGGGATGGTGGACGTGATCTTCGCCGACGTGGCCCAGCCCGACCAGTCCCGCATCGTGGCTCTGAACGCCCACACCTTCCTGCGTAACGGGGGCCACTTCCTCATCTCCATCAAGGCCAACTGCATCGACTCCACCGCATCTGCCGAGGCGGTGTTTGCTTCCGAGGTGAGGAAGTTGCAGCAGGAGAACTTAAAGCCCCAGGAGCAGCTGACCCTGGAGCCCTATGAGAGGGACCACGCTGTGGTTGTCGGGGTCTACCGGCCCCTTCCGAAGAGCGGCGGCAAGTAGCAACCCAGCTTGGGCTGTCCCTGAGATCTCCCCGAGGCTGCGCTGTGTTCAGTGTTACTATGTATATGGTTTCATTGCGTGTTGTTTTTCTATTAAACAGTGTAAAGAAATGGCACCCAGGTGTATCAGTGAAGCCAGATTCGGTTTTGCTGCTGTAAAGATCCAGCAAACGGCTAAGACGACTGGTATTAGGGACCCATCACGGAACAGCTTGGGAATGGTGCTTGTTCCATCCACTCAGGGTCCTGACTCCCCAGGGCCCCTGGTCACAGAGGTGGGGAAGAGAGTCGGGGTGGGGGGGAGTGTTAATGAGCCTGTAAAGTCCTCTTTGGAACTGAAGGGGCACTTCCTACACTTTGACCAAGTCAAATGACCAAGCCTGACTCCGGGGAGTGGCACTGGATATTGATGGACAATAATATAGTCAAACACACCCAACCTGCCTGAGTCCAAGCAGACTCCTAACCGCAGTATCTATCTATCTATAGCTTTAGGACTTTACTCTTCAAGTAAGCCATTTTGCATTCCTTAGTATGTGTAATAATGACACCAGCCCCTAGATGGCTTAGTCACCATTGCCCTTTTATATGCGAAGCAACAGGGCTTATGAAGGTAAACTGTTTGCCCAAGTTCACACAGCTAGTAAAGAAGTCAGTCTTTTGTGCTCTAAATCCACTGCTGTTTCCTGCACCCCAGTGGGATCTCACCTCCCCCTCACGCGGCCCACGCTGACCGCAAGTCCCAACACAAGGACACACACACAGCAGGGAGGGCTCTCTGGCTTCTTTGTGTTCTTTCTCCCATCTCCCTGTGCCACCCTTTCCTTTGATTTCAAAACAGCAAAACAAGGCAGGGAGGCAGGATGTTGAGTTCACCTCACAAAGTACAAGGCATAGCACACCCAAGGTGGCATCGCCAAGGGGCTGAGGAACAAGTGGAAGAAGGAGTTCTGAAAACACCTGTCTCTGAAAGGCATTTCCTCCAGACCCTGAGCTGCTGCTCCCAGGACATTCAGTCGTGGCTCCCCACGCCAGTCCAGAGGGAGCAGGAGAGCGAGCGGTCCCAGGAGAGCGGGGCATGCTCCCAAACCAGGCCTATCAGAAGGCCTTTCATTTGTTCATTCACTCATACATTCAAGAAACCCCCGTTGCCAATTGCCAAGGCCATCGACATTTCAACCTGGGAGTGATTGCTCACTGATGCGCCATTTGGAGAGTGAGTCTGGATTCCGAAAGATGTGCTTGGACAGAGGTTAGGGTTAGCCTGCAGTTTCTGAAGGCATACTTCCTTAATTTTGGTGTGTGTCAGGGGGAGATAATTAGATTTGTTTATTTATTTATTTTCAGAGGAAGAACTGGGGATTGAGCCCGGGACCTGGTGCATGCTAGGCAAGCGCTCTACCACCTGAGCTACGCCCTCCCCCCTCAAAGTTTTCAAAGAAGCCACCGACTTCTCCTCCTCCCCACCACACACACAGTGGAGGAGGGGAGCTGCAGTTCAGATTAGTTGGCCAGACTTGACTCAGGAAGAAGGGAGTGAGTGGAGTAAGTGTCTACGGAACCCTGAACCAGGCATTTCCATAAACAGTGTGAAATCTTCATTAAAGCCCTGCAAACAAGGATCATCATTCCTATTTAACAGGTGAGAAAGCTGCAGTTTAGAGAGATGACATGACTTGCTTAAGATTCCCCAGGCTCACAGCCAGAAATCAAACGCACAAAATCTATGGCCCTCCACTGAGGTCTGTTGCGTTGGTTCCTTTACTCTGAAAAACCTGCTCTCCAATCCGAGGCTGATTAACTCATTGCTAAGATGAAACCCGGAGGATGGGAACAGACCCCCAGGAAACCGGAAGATCAATTCCAGAATCTTACAGGGTCCAGCCCTTCCTCAGAGCCAGTTCAGCCTCAATAAGGAACCCTTGGAGCCTCCTTACCTGGGGTATCTGTCTCCCAGGATCAGGGACAGAGCAGGGGAAACTTGGCCTCTTTCGTTGATACAAACATTCTCACATGCAGAGATTTGCATCTCTGTTTATAGCATGTCTTGAAGCTGCTTGAAGTGGGACCATCAGCGGAGAAATGGCATGGAAAAAAACCTGCTAAAGAATGTCCCTGAGCTGCAGATGGGTTCCTGGGCCAGTGGGACAACACGGCAAGTCCCAAGAGCAACGTGGGAGTAAGGACTAAGGGAATGTAGGAGGGAAGGTGACACTTGGTGTCAGAGGACAAGGGAAAAAAAGCATGAGACTGTAACCGTAGTGGGCAGTGAGGTTCAGGAAACAGGTAGCAGTGACAGGGGGCACCTGGCTTGCTTGGGATCCCAAAAGGCATTAAATAGGGATCTCGAGTTGTCTTAAACTGCTGGGGCTGTCATAGCAAGGTACCACAGTCTGGATGCCTTAAACAACAGTTACTTTCTCACCGTTCTGGAGGCTGGAAGTCAAGGTGAAGCCTCTCTCCTTGGCTTGTCAGTCAGTGGCTGCCTTCTCCCTGTGTCCTTGCATGGCCTCTGCTCTGTGTGCACAAGGAAAGACTTCGATTGAGAGAGAGAGGGAGCGATCTCTGGACACCCGTCCTATCAAATTACAGCCCCACCTTTATGACCTCCTGTAACTTTAATTACTTCCTTAAAGGCCCTGTCTCCAAACACAGCCTCCAAATAACATTTGAGGGATAGGGCTTCAATATTTGTAATATGGGGAAGCACAATGCAGCCCATAAGGCTAGGGCTGGAGGAGAACTTCCAGCTGAAATGCCCGTCTAACTGGCTTTTGGGAATTGACTGAGGGGAGCAATGGGCAACTGAAGTCCCTGCACAGAGCTCCGCATGTTGTCCCCTCCTGCCACCTTTCTTCTTACTGTCAGTGTAAGATCACAAGGGAGCTGAGAATTAACAGCGAACACAAAGGCCGTGGGGTGTGTCGGAGGAAGGGGAGGGGGCGGGGGCGGAGGGAACTTAGCTGGGCTTCTAAGGGGACTGGTTCAAGGGCTGGGAACTGGGTGGAATTTCCTGCTGAGTTTCAGAGAAACTGGCTGCAGCTGAGCTCAGCCCAGCAGGTGCAGTGAGGCAGGAGGCTGATGCTGAAAGACCAGGTTAGATGGACTCCGAGCCAGCAGGAGCCAGCGGGAGCCAGAGGGAAGAGCACACCCCCACCCTCACCCTCACCCCGATGCCCGTCAGCCTCTGCCGCCGTGATGCCTCCCGGGATGAGGGGAGAAAGAACGGGGAGGGAGGGAGATGAGGACTTTGGTCAAAAGGGACTGTTTTAAACCGGAAGAAACTAACTTCTTTTCAACCGGCAGGTTCCGTCCCAGCCACAGTCCTGCTACTGAGCACGAGGCCTTAGCACATCTGAGCTGCACTTGGATTCTGCCACGCTTGTACTTATCAAACACTTATGATGTCCCAGGCGTAGAGCTAAGCATTTATTTGGTTGTAAAAAGTATTATTTTAAAATTAGTAAGGAGAACATACCAGAAAATACTGAAACGTGAACGTTCAGGTTAACATCAGCTGTAAAACTAACACTGGCCTCCCCACTACCCACTCACGTCTGTGTGGCCTGGAGCCAGGGAGTGCCTGAGCGTCCCTGGCCGGTGGTCTGCCCCTTCCTTTTCCCACCCCTGGTTCTTCCCACCCATGCCCTGAAGGGGCTCACAGGCATGTCTGTAGACTCCCGGTCCTCAAATCAAAGAACTGACCCGTGCCCCTTCACACAGCCTACTTGAAGCCCCTTGGGACTAGAGTTGCAAACTGGGAGCATGGTCCCCTCTCAGGATGACGAGCCTAGGGGAGAAAATGGAAGCGGAGCTGGGCTGTTCAGGCTGGGCTCCCAGTGCCTCATGCGCAGTCTAGAAGGTGGGGGCCTGGGCTCCAGGGGGCATGGCGCTTGGCCCCTGTGGACTCCTTGCCCTCTGGGGCAAGGTGCAGACAGAGGAAAGCCAGAGCGCTGTCCTCTAAAGTACCAGATCCGGTGGGGAGGTGTAGCTCCGTGCTAGCGTGCGTGCCTGGCATGCATAAGGTCCTGGGTTCAATCCTCAGTAGCTCCATTACAAATAAATAAATAAAAACCTCATTATCTCCTCCCCCCAAATAATAAATTAATTTTAAAACGTACCTCTGTTATAAATAAATAAATGAAAACCTAATTATCTCCTCTCCCCCAAATTAATTAATTTTAAAAAGTACCTCCATTAAAAATAAATAAAAACCTAATTACTCCCCCCACAAATTAATTAATCAAAAAAAAAAAAGTATGAGGCCCAGGGCAGGGGCCCCAGTTGCTCACCGCCAAGAGTGGCCCCCTTGCCTCTCCACCCTTCCAAACTCTGTTCCTCCTCAAAGAGGCAATTCTAACTCTTCAAAGTCATCTTCTCAGCCCTTGGGCTCACAGGAAATTCCTTGATTCATGATCTGATGGAGACACCATTTACTGTGCAGGGATCCCGTGCCAGGTGCTCCCAGGCACCTTGTTTCACTGACTCCTCACAGCACCACCGGGAGGCAACTGTCCCTACCCCGATATCACAGACGAGGAAGCCGAGGCTCAGGGAAGTGGCAGGAATCACCCAAGGTGTGACAGAGCTGGAGCAGAACCATATTCATTCTCTAAGCCAGTGAAACTAAAACCAGAGGCGCTCAGGGGAAGGAGGCCTGGCGCTGGTGTTTGGTGAGCCTCCCAGGTGATTCTGATGTTGACCCAGGGCTGACACCACTATTTAAAGCCCCAAACCACTGTTGCCGTAGGCTGGGAAAGGCAGCCTTAGGACAGTACTTTGAATAACTGCTCAGACAGCCGAGCTTTTCTGCGGGGCGCCTGTGACAGCCCAGGCTGCTCCTTGAGATTCCAAAGAGGAGGAGGGTTGATGTCTGTGGCTGAAGACAAAGTTACTGATATTCCCCCCACCTCTGGCCCCTGACTGAGCTCTGCCTACGGTGCTTGTTTGTAAGGAGCTCAGCTGAGCTGGGAGAGAGCGCTGAGCTGCTGGCTGTGGGAGTAGCCCAAAAGGCAAGGAGCACAAAATGAGAGCCTTCAGTCTTCAGTCACTTACTGTGGTGGGAAAAGCAAGAGGCTGAAACTGGAGAAGGCACCAATTCCCCTGTTCTATATTCCCCCCCATGGAAAGGCGCCCCCAACCCAGGGTCAGGCGGGCCAGAGCATCGTGGGGTCCTCTCACTGCTGAAGGTGCCCTCGAACAAATGGACCCAGCATTTTATGGACCCTGAGGCAGCTGGTGAGGGGACGAGGTGGGGGAGGCGAGGAGTGAAAATGTCTTTAAGGTCTG